ACCGTTCTACCTCCCGCCCCCATGTCCACCTTCTTCTTCAGTGAGTTCCCGACAACCGCCGCCATTCCCGACCACCACCGACCCACTCCCGCCCTGCCGGCCACTCGGGTGGCCGCCATGCCTACCTTCCCTTTCGACCGACCTCCTCCTTCCTCCCGACCAACACCGTGGGACCTCCCATCCCGCGAGAAGCTCGACGGCAGCTTCCCTCGATCCAGCGCCACACCAATCAGGCCAACCACCGCCGCAGCTGCAGTCTAGCCTCACGCGACCATCCCTCCTCCCTTTGTCGGCGCCAGCACCTCCCCTCCCGCCTTTGCGCCACAGTCAACATGGCCTCCTGCCGGCAGAGGCACGCACATCCTCGCACACCTCCCCGTGATACGTCTCCAACGTATCTATAATTTTTTATTGTTCCATGCTATATTATATCATGTTTTGGATATTATTGGGATTTATTATACACTTTTATATTATTTTTGGGACTAACCTATTAACCGGAGGCCCAACCCAGAATAGTTGTTTTTTGCCTATTCCAGAGCTTCGCAGAAAAAGAATATCAAACGAAGTCCAAATGGAATGAAACCTTCGGGAACGTGATTTTCGGAACGAACATGATCCAGAGGACCTGGACCCTACGTGAAGAAAGCTACCAGGAAGGCACGAGGTAGGGGGCACGCCTACCTCCCCAGGTGCGCCCTCCACCCTCGTGGGGCCCACATTGCTCCATCGACATACTCCTTCCTCCTATATATACCTACGTACCCCCAAACTACCAGATACGGAGCCAAAACCCTAATTCCACCGATGTAACTTTCTGTATCCGTGAGATCCCATCTTGGAGCCTTTTCTGGAGCTCCGCCGGAGGGGGCATCGATCATGGAGGGATTCTACATCAACACCATAGCCTCTCCGATGAAGTGTGAGTAGTTTACTTTAGACCTTCGGGTCCATAGTTATTAGCTAGATGGCTTCTTCTCTCTTTTTGGATCTCAATACAAAGTTCTCCCCCTCTCTTGTGGAGATCTATTCGATGTAATCTTCTTTTGCGGTGTGTTTGTTGAGACCGATGAATTGTGGGTTTATGATCAAGTTTATCTATGAACAATATGTGAATCTTCTCTGAATTCTCTTATGTATGATTGGTTATATTTGCAAGTCTGTTCGAATTATCAGTTTGGTTTGGCCTACGTTGATCTTTCTTGCAATGGGAGAAGTGCTTAGCTTTGGGTTCAATCTTGCGGTGTCCTTTCCCAGTGACAGTAGGGGCAGCAAGGCACGTATTGTATTGTTGCCATCGAGGATAACAAGATGGGGTTTATTTCATATTGCATGAGTTTATCCCTCTACATCATGTCATCTTTCTTAAAGCGTTACTCTGTTCTCTTGAACTTAATACTCTAGATGCATGCTGGATAGCGGTCGAAGTGTGGAGTAATAGTAGTAGATGCAGGCAGGAGTCGGTCTACTTGTCTTGGACGTGATGCCTATATACATGATCATACCTAGATATTCTCATAACTATGCTCAATTCTGTCAATTGCTCAACAGTAATTTGTTTACCCACCGTAATACTTATGCTCTCGAGAGAAGCCACTAGTGAAACCTATGGCCCCCGGGTCTATTCTCCATCATATTAATCTTCCAATACTTAGTTATTTATTTTGCCTTTTATTTTACTTTGCATCTTTATTTCTCTTTATCATAAAAATACCAAAAAAATTATCTTATCATATCTATCAGATCTCACTTTCATAAGTGACCGTGAAGGGATTGACACCCCCTTTATTGCGTTGGTTGCGAGGAGTTTATTTGTTTGTGTAGGTGCAAGGGACTCGTGCGTGTCCTCCTACTGGATTGATACCTTGGTTCTCAAAAACTGAGGGAAATACTTACGCTAATTTGCTGCATCACCCTTTCCTCTTGAAGGGAAAACCAACGCAGTGCTCAAGAGGTAGCACCCCGCTGCTGGTGAAGTGAGCAGAAAAGATTCCCAAGATTCTTCCACCAAACACAGTTCCAGCTGCTGATGAAAGTAGTATTTTTATTTCTTTCTTTGTGGAAGGGTGAAATGGACACTCGTTTCCTTAACAGAAAGCCAGCCGCTGTCTTGCTTTGCTGATCGTGCTATTGGCTTGTCATTCAGATAAGTGAACGAACGAACAAGAAGGGAAGTTTCCTTCACATGGCGGGGAATCTAGACATCAACGAACCAACAATTTGCAATGTAAATCCCTGTGAAAATCCATGAAGCAATTCTGTCCTAGTAGAAAGGATGGAAGGTTTAGCACCACCAGTTAACCATGTACACTTGATCAGTGAAATTTCTACGTCCCAAACTGTAGGAACGGCAGTGATCTTTGCAAGCACGGGACTACTGGCCTGAATGTGATTGCAACCGCAGTTACAAGTGTGGTGTGGGCACTGAAGGTTGTTCAATAACCATCGTGTGTTTACGTTATGTACTAACAGAAGGTTTGGCTGCATGTTGACATGTGCAACGTGAGTAGTGTGAGTTACTGGATGAAAATTGGTGGTCTAGCACTCGAGGATGGTGCTTGCACTTAACAGTAGACCATGGTATTTTTTATGGATGACACACAAGAGAAGTGTTGTTTTCATTGTTAAGTATAAAAAAATAGTCTGTTCTCATTGACAGAGATCAGATATGCTTCTATGTGAAAATAAATTACAAGTCCAAATATGTCTTAGAAGTTCAATTTGAAATAACCGAGAAGGTCAAAAAACCTTGAATTTCAAATTAAAAAAACTAGATAATTGTTTGCTTATTTAAAACCATATTTTTCTAAGAAGTTCGAATCTAACGTCAAAAAAACTTAGACGTTTTCTC